TTGTGAGACAGAGAGTGGGCAGGCATGAGTGAGGTATAGGACATCAAGCACCGATAATGGTAACTAGCATTCTCATGACCTTTACCCATAGATCAATCATTGAGGATTATTTTGTGAGTCAACCAAGAAGTCCTTCTAAAATTTTATCTGCTGATCCAAGCAACCACACACAGAATTTTTTTTGGACCAAGAAGTAAAATAGAAAGGGTATGACCTATATTTTTTATCATTCTTCATATATATAAATATATATTTATATATTTTTATATATGCTATCTCTCTGAAAATTTACTATGTTTGCAGTTCCAACCATTGCAGGTTGGGTGATGGAGAGAAAATAAAGCTAATTAAACATTTCCATACCGCAGAACTGAAAAGGACTTGGAGGAATTCTTTGTTGACATTTAAATATCTACTGTAAAGTGGAAAGCAAGATTTGCATCCAACAATGCCACCTGGTTAATTCAGCAATTTTTTATAACCTGGCAAATTTTCTTGTGCAACAGTGCATTTTTATGAAATTAGGTGACTATTATCAATATACTATATGAACCTTTTTCTGATCTCCCCAGCATTGGAGTGACTTTATTGTAACAGATGTTTCCCTCTTTAGAGCGGAGGTAAAACAGCATGTATCTTGACATAGGCAGGCAGCACTTGGCTTTGGAACATTAAGTCTTCCATCAGGCTATTCCCTCAGTTTCAGTCATTGGTTTAAGGACTGTTTCTTCCAAACGCACAACCTGGTATCCAACACTATTTCTCATTAGTCACCTGGTTCCACATTCAAAATGCAATTCAAACTTGGAAACCAGTGTGTATATCATGACCTTTTAGGTCTAACATGGTGGTGGATGGAAAAGCGTATTAGTCTGCAGTCCCAACTTGCTAGGTGACCTTTGACAAATTACTTGACCCCAATGTGCTTCATTTTCCTTCTACACAAGGAATATGGAGGCAATAATATATAGCTTCCTGCCCTACCTTACAGAATTTTGTAAGGTTAAAATGAAATAACCATTTGTTTGCATTCTGTTTTGATGTATTGATGCAGAAATCTCTTTTCTTTGCTGCTACAAACGTATCACCAGGCTTATAGGAAAAAATACCAAAGATTTGTCGAAATATCATTCATTCCCTTTTGCTCTCTAGAACAAATTTATTTCATTAAACGATGACGGCCAATTGGTTTAAAATGGTAAAAGCACAACTTTCAGTTTTCAGATCTGGACTGATGTTCTCACGCAGCTGCTGAAAAGGTTTCTGCTTCATTTCCAGAGACTCTGGCGACCTTGTTGCATATATTTGGTGTCACTAATATGCTCTCACCTTTATACTTATTCCAAAGTGATATGAGACAATCTTGAATGAGGCAGGAGACATTCTAACAGCCAAAGGCAAATTGTTAGTCGCCAAATCCAGTGTCACCTGTTGGGCTCTCACACTGTTCAGCTTGTCTACCTTCCTATGAATGAGGTCCAGGAAACAGGACTACACATCAATGTATGTAATGTGTTTGCTCAATTCAAAACTTTCCCTTAAACCTCTGCTGAATGAGTAATATGGTACCCCTCAGATCTGGAGTTCTGATCAAAACTGAGCCTAGCAAGTTGTAAGAATCAATATTTGTGAATGATAATGGGTTTCTGCATTGTTTTTTTTTCCTCTATCCTTTCACTAAAATTCGTAAACCAATGTCTGTATTCCTGACTTAGAGGAGATATCTTTTAAAGGACTGTCATCCATTTTATCTGCAAATTGTCTCTGAATTTTCTAATTTTTTCCTTCAACTTCCAACAAAATCTCTGGATATTACCATTTCCAGAAGCCTACCAAGTCACCTGGACACCAATGATGTGATCAATGAAACCTCTAAAGTAAAATTGTAAAGATACATATATCACTTTGTCTCTATTCTAGTTTGATTTGTCAATCTCCTATAAAGAGGAAACTCCTCAGAGGCTTTCAAAACATGTATTGCTCATTCACTATAAGTCAGAATAGTTACTCAGTGGAATTATACTGTTAACATTTACTTAATATTTGCAATGTATTAAGCATTGTCCTCAGTGTTCTAATCATCCTCACGGCAACCTCATGAGTAAGTAGTATTCCAATTTTCATTTTAAAGGTAAGGGGATCAGGCACATGGACATTAAATTATTTGCCAAAGATTACATACCTAGTTAACGTTAGGATCTGAATGTGGGCAATCTATTTCCCAACCACATATCTTAAACCTATGCTATACTGAGACCAAAGAGCTATTAGATATTGTTCCCTTCAAGAGATGATGTTTGAGATGGGGTTGCAAGCTCATGTGCTGATGCAGTTATCTCTTGTCAGGGAAATAGTAAGAGTGTGATTATTGAGATGGGTAAAGAACCCATCTCCACAGGTAAATATCTGAAACCTCCATCCCTAGCTCAAATCATTTATTATAAATATGTTAGTGAGGGTGGATTCTTATCAGATAGGATTCTTGTCAGATAGACTCCACTTAGTCTTTGTGCTAGGAGTAAGACTTTCTGCTGAGTGTGATTGTGACAGTTATATAAAAGAATTTTAGTGAAAGAAAAGAAGGTTATAAGTGACTGTTTTAAGAACTGGAGCTCAGTCTCTACAGGGTTCTGAGATATTTCAGTAAGGAGCATAGGGTTTCCAGTAGAGACTAAACACCCTGAATCTCTCACAGTGTTAGCTACATTATTGTTTGTATATGAATTCTTGCCAACCAGACTGTGAGAGAGATACTGAGTAAGTCTACTAATTCGGGGTTAGAATGTTTGCATGAGGTATTATAAATTTTGTCAAGTTTGTACAGAAGACTAAAGGCAAGGCAATAAGATATTAACAATCTTGTGGTTTAAGTAATGAGGTTTTACGAGTAAGAAGTAGAGGGTGAGAGAGGGAGTAGAGGGTGGGAAGAAATCAAGAACTAAATATCTCTAAGTGGTAAAAGTGAAAGACACATAATCAAAAAGTTGTGAAGGAGCTTGTAGAAAAGAAGTGTTAGAGAGTGGAACATTAGAGTTTATATTTGGAATATTTGGTAATTCTTAGTAAGGCCAGTTCCAGGGTATGTCCATGGGTGTGGCTGACTGCAGTAGAGTGCAAGTCACTGACATTAAGAAGAGCAACAAATTATGATACAACATTGTTGGATAAATCAACATAGACAATGAAATCATCTAGGATGACACAGGCATTTATGGGTGAGAAAGAAGACTGTTAGTTGCAAGAAACACTGCCTGACCACAAAGCCATTGGATACCAACATTGAGGTATAAAGTATAATACCAGAATAACATGAATCTAAAGAAGACATGTTTTGAGTTGGGTGGAATAGTATTTTTGGAGATAAAGAGTGCAATTCTAACACTTCCCTCTTGACCTGCAAACACACAATTTTGGAGAATAAAAAACCTCCATTTAATGATATATTGGGGGAAGCAGAATTGTTCAAAGGATCAGTCTTTAATCTTTACTAGAGACTGAAGGTTTAGAACGGTTGGAGGTTTCTTTACCATGGCACTGAATTATATCAAGTTCAAGTGGAACTGGATTATATCTGGGAATTGTTGGCAGGATGAAAAAGTATCAGTTATAATGAAAATTAATATTTTAGAGGCTTCCGGTGATCTTAACACTTCCAATCATCTTATAGGTAACAGGTAATGTCATCTTATTTTAAATGATCACATGAAGCCCTGGGATATGTACTGTTTCACCTATTTTACAGATCATAGAATGGAGACATCAAAAGGTAAAGCAACCTGCTCATGCAGATAAAGTAAGAGGTAAAACCAATGTTTTAAGCCCAGCAGTCTGAAATCAACACATACTGATGTTATGTGATGGAAAGATGAAGATTAGGAGAGAAATATGATAATAAATGCAGCAAGTCAACTATGAAAGGGAAAAGGAGACTGGAAGTTCTTCATTTTGAATACTAGTACAAGATTATGAGACTATTAGGCACAGATTTATTTGGTCATAATGCTCCCTGACAAATATAAGTGTTAGAATGAAGTGCAACAACTACACCTCAAAAGCTACAGGCTGTAGACTTCTCAAAGTTTCATGGAAGCTTTTGGTGAGTATGGGTTACATACCTCAGAAGGGGACAGGAGGGGCTCCTATTATTAATTTTAGTACAAGTATATATTTAATACAAATATATATTCTAAATTTAGTATAAGAGGTAGGAATTTAGTACAGAATGTGTTGCTTAGGGAAGCTTCACCTTCTTTACAGAGAAGCTATACCTCTTTCTCCAAAGATGAGTTGAAAAATTCAAACACCTTCGAAATAATTCCAGGCTAATTGTGCATCTAGTCAAATTAGTCGATTTATTTAGCCTATTGCTTTTTTCCCTAAACGGGTGCTAATGGTGGTTACAGCTCACAAAATGGTTCCAGTTCGGTTAAATCACATCCATTTATTGAAAAATTAATGTCCTCACTTGTAAAATACAAATTAAACAAATTTCAGAGCCATAACTGCTAATATGAAACCTTGCATATAAAACTGTTGGAAAAGTTACAAATACTAAGTGAATAAAAGTGCTCTTATTAATAAATAATAATAACTAATATTTGGAACTTTGTGCTATAACTAGTATTTTGTTATTACTTAATTTATTATCTCATTGAATCCTTATTGTAATCTTTATACATAAGAATTATAGTAACTCCACTTTATACATGGGGAAAATTAGGCTTGAACATCAAACACTAAATGTGTGGTAGGATAAATTCAATCCATCTGACTTCAAAGTAATGTTCTTAATATATACTCTTAACACTTGGTAGGGATAATTTTTTATAAACATTGGTATTAGTATATAGAGTAAATCAGTTACATCGCTCATTGGTATAGTCAAAATCCAATATAATGCCCCTAGCTTTCTAGCTTAAATGTAAGCCACTTAATGCAGACATAGTAAAAAAATATATAACCTAGGATAATTGTTATTTCCAATATTATATTTTAGGCATACTTCGCTCACTTCAAGTTACTAAGTCTTCATTCAAGTTACTAAGCAGAAGACACATATGGAGTCACAGGTTGTGTGACTGTGAGTGTCACATTGCCCAAGATAGTTTTGATTTATGTGATGCCATACCATAGTCCATTATCTTTACTCTTAAAATTTTCTTGATTTGGAATGCATTATATTAAAACTCTACTTTAATGTTTATTACTAAAAGTATGGGACTAGATCTTCCCAGTGATAGATTCTGTTTGCTCTCATATAGGCAATAAAGTCTAAAAGTGAGTGGCATATCCATCCCCTAAATGTATAGAATCCTTCCTGTCCTCTAAAACTCTTCCAGGAAGCACTTATGTTAATTTCATTAAAAAAATCACAAACCATGAATTATAAGGAATAATAATTCACATCCCTATATTTTTATGTGTATGATTTGAACATAACACTTTTATTTATTTATTAAAGATTTATTTATTTATACATACAAGCACTAGCATATAGGCCAGAGGTGCAGGGGGCAAGAGGAATCACCAGAGACAGAGTGGGGAACAGAACAGGCAGACTGACTGAAATACACTGCTGAGGGGAGCCGCGGGCGAGACAGGAGAGGTCTGCTGTGCCATGTCGGGTCAGCTCCCTGGCTGGCTGGGCATCAAACTCATGCTGCGGAAGGCTGCAGATTGCTTCACAGTGCTGTGTCTTCACCTCTTGTGCCACCAGGGAGGTTCCTGAGTATAACACTTTTAGCACATAAAATGTCATTATTAATTTTAACTACACAGTTAATATGGGCTAACCTGTGGTAACTTATCTCTAATGATACATTTGATAAAATAATTTTTTTCACTTTTCATGCTCAGAAAATTACTGTTTGACTTTACCTTTATATTGACCTGTGACTTTTTCCTTGTTACTGTTCTTTGAATGGTGAATATTGAATTTCTCTTGTCTAATACAAGAGAATTCTAATCTTGCAATACTTATATCTCAGCACTTTTCAGATATTTCAGACAATGGTAACACAGGTTCTTAAAAGTGTAGCTCAGAATAATTAACAACATAAAGAGTTTGAATTTTTTTTTGTCTTTTGAAGCCCTTAAAAAGGGCTTACTCAATTCTTTAACTTGAAAGGATTAAATTATAATTATGGCTTATGCTAATTTTGAGAAATTTGTCAAGTACTGTTAACACTATTTCTTCAAAACAAGAAGCAAGTTAAGAGCAACTATTTAGCTAAAGTAATTTTAAGCTGTTGAAATTTAGATATATACCACAAGAGAGTAAATAATACTCGCCAATAAAATAATTCAAAGTGATTTGGATAAAACAAAATGCCTTCTTTCTGAGTTTAATACACAGAGTTCCAGTAGAGGGCTCCACAAGACTGAAGGATACTAAATTTCACAGACTTGAGGCACTTCTTGTGAAACCATTTCATGATTATCCCCAAAATAGTAAATAATATTTACTCAGTTCATAGCATTTTTCACAACCCCCTAGAGTTGATTGATCCTAACAAATAATAATGATCCAGTTCTGATTTCAGAATCAATAGTTTGAGTTTAACATTCTAAATATGTAAACTAGCTGGTTTCTCTGGACTCATCTGATGGTACAGCAATCTACTGTCTGAACTGCAGGATACATGTGGACAAAAGAAGCTGTTTCCTTGGAAACGACTCTGAGAAAGCTCTTGGAACATCTCCTCCCCAGGAGTTAATTTGTTTCAGATGGAGAAAGGCGATTACTTACGACACATCAAGAAAGAAAAAGAGAAAACTCAAGCTTATTCCTACCATCACTGTTTTTCTCTTTCAAAATCATAGCATAGTTATCAGCAGCAAGAGTAAATATTAATGACATTGTGACTATCTAACATCTAACTCTGCAATAGTTTTCACCTGTATGTAGAAGAAACAGTGGGGTTGGAAAGGGAAATTTTCTAAATGAACCAAAGTACTGTGTATGCTTCTCAATTTCCTGGAAATTTTCCAGTGCTCTACTTCCCTTCATACTGATCATTTTAAAGTGCAAATGTTTGCCACTTGGGTTGAATTACAGATAAAAAAATAATGATCTGTCATTTAGTAAAGATGGTATCTCAACTTAGTGATTTAAACTTTTCCTCAGTTGTAGTGAAGAATTAACCTATTAGGTCTAATCCTTGACTCCTTGCCTTTGTTATTCCTAGCATGGATTCATTACAAAGTGTATTGTGTTCAAAACTACCCAAGATTCTTCAATTGTGGACACTTGTATCAGGTTTTCAGTAAGGTTTTGTTAGTTGACTCATTAATTTTTGGCATGGCTGAGTTATGGTTTGGAGCTGTAAAATCGACTTAAGCAAATCAGTCCATATGAGAAAGAAACTTAAGACCTTTTCTATTGGATCATTTTTCTATTGAACCAAGTTAACCAAATAACAGAGGTCATAATACAAAGTAAGAGGAATCAACAAAATTAAGGCACATTAAATTATTTCAGTCCGTTAAAAACAGTAGTTGCGTTAATTAAATTTGATAGAATTTCTTAACTCAGTATGGTCTAATCTAAGGAAGTGTAAATTAACCTTAAATATTTTATTTTTAAAGATTTATTTATTTACTTATTTATTTATACAAGCACTGGGGACAGCCAGAAGCACGGGAGGGCGAGAGAATTCACCAGAGCCAGAGCGGGGAACAGAACAGGCAGACCAATGAAATACACTGCAGAGAGGAGCAGCAGGCAGCAGGAGAGGTCTGCGCTCCATGTGGGACCCTCACCGGTGGATGGGGATCGAACCGGCGCTGCAGAAGCTGCAGGGCAGCTTTGCAGCCCAGCTTTCAACTGCTGCGCCACCAGGGGAGGCCCCCTAAAATATTTTAAATTAAAATCAGATGGGATGGTATGGTTGTAGCCTGAAATCGAAATCACAGTCAGATGTCTCTACTGAAAATTCTTAGGAAAAGTAATACTGTACTTGAAAAGGTGACATTGATCATATCCTATCATTTCTTATATGTTTTTACTTTTAAAATTTTTATATTTATTTTTTTTTGTATTTATGCATACAAGAACTGAGGTGAATATTGAATATAGGCCAGAGTTGTGAGGGTGAGAGGATTCACCAGAGACAGAGTGGGGAACAGAACAGGTGGAGCCACTGAAATACAACGCCAAGGGAAGTAGTGGGCGAGACAGGAGAGGTCTGCTGCACCAAGTGGGTTAGCTCCCTGGCCAGGGACCTAACTGGATAGGGATAGCTTGAAAGTGTTGACACTTTAACCCCTGCACCACCAGGGAGGCCCTCATATATTTTTAGACATATGAATTTATAATTTCTGTGAGTCTTAATATTCACAAAGGACAAGAAATAACTAGTTTTAAAAGTGTTTTCCTTGATGCTCAACAATATTGTTATGTAAGATTATTTTAAAAATCCCATAAAAATGAAAAAGAAAATACTTAGGGATGTTGATAAACATCAGTTTCAATCTCATTCCTTTATTTTCTTATAAGAAATTCTAAACCAGCAAATGAAAATATTATAGGTATATTATCATTACACTCAGTATCAAATTAGTTCTGTGGGCCTCCCCTGGTGGCACAGCCGTTGAGTGCTGGGATGTGAAGCTGCCTGCAGCCTCTGTAGCGCCAGTTCGATCCCCAGCCGCAGGTGATCCCACATGGCATGACAGACCTCTCCTGCTGTACCCGCTGTTCCCATCAGCAGTGTGTTTCGTCAGTCTGCCTGTTCTGTTCCCTGCTCTGGCTCTGGTGAATTCTCTCAACCTCCCATGCTTCTGACTGTGCCCAGTGCTTGTATAAATAAATAAATAAATAAATAAATCTTTTTTAAAAAAACAAACAAATTAGTTCTGCTCACTCAGTTTTACAATGCGTTTACGCTAGAAATAGAATTTTTAAAAATCACTAAGTCCCATACAAAAGTTACTACAAATACATGGATACACTAACCTTTACAAGAGAAAGACATGTGTTCCACAAAACACAATTCCATTTGACTTTTTTATTTTTACAAATATATAATCTAGGGTAGCAGATACATGTATTTATGTATTAGCCAACCACCAATAATTTTTGAATATATTTAAGTAAATAGAGTATCTATACTGTTGTCTTAGCTAGAACTCATGAAACAAAACATCTTAGACTGACAGCTTAACCAACAAACATTTATTTTTCTCAGTTTTGGAGTCTAGGAGGTTCCAAAATCAAGGTATTAATAGAGTCTATGTTTTGCGAAGGTCCTATTTCTGGCTTAGAAATAGACATCTGATTGTTTTATCCTCACATGTCAGAGAGAAAGAGTTCTTTTTTTTAGTTCATAGCAATTATTTAATATGCCATCTTTTCAGGACAAATAAGAATTGAAAACTGTGTTCATGGGATTATATAACATTCTCAAGTAGGGGTAAAATTCATAATTCTGGACAAATCACTTTCTGAAAGAACACTACATACCATCAGCCTAGCAAGATACTTTGATTTCTTCAGGACTATATTTAAAAGATATGTATTTTATTATAAGATTTCATTAGAAAGAAATATCATTATGCTATATAGTAATATAAATATGGACTCCATCATAAAAGAAATATTTTTTTTCCTAAAGATTTTGTTTTTAAATTTATTTATGCATAGAAGAACTAGGGAGCAGGCCAGAGGGGTGGGGGCTGAAAGGATTCATCAGAGACAGAGTGGGGAAGAGAACAGGCTGATAGATTGAAATACACTGCTGAGGGGAGCAGCGGGCAAAACAGGAGAGGTCTGCTGCGCCATGTGGGTCACCTCCCTGGCCAGGGATCGAACTCATACTGTAGTGGCTGTGGATATCTTCATAGTGCTGCATCCTAACCCCATGTGCCACCAGGGAGGCCCCAAAAAGAAATATTCTTTCAAAATATAAGACAGGAAAATATTTTGTCCCCTTTTTTATAGGGTTACACTGTGGTATCTCTGAAAATTAAGGTGTATCTATGGGTTATGTGTATATATATGTGTGTACATGAGAAAAAGAGAAATTGTGGGAATATACATAAACTTTTAGAAAAAATAGATATAACTATGACACACATATTCATTCATTCAACAATGTTTATTGAGTGTTTATTACTGCATATTGCTTTATATGTTTGGTACATAACTAAATATTAAAACATATCAGACTTTCTTTTGCTTATATACAGGTGAAATAATCTAAACTGAGATTAAATTGGGGTGCTATCATTACATCTCAATTCTTTGCAAGTTGTAAGAGTATCAGTGACAGATCTAGACAGTTCTTGAATTTGGATTGCTAGAGGCTAGCCTACTTTGGCCTTCTCAGCTCAGCCCTCCATCTCTAACTACCCCTGACCTCACTATGACCACCTCTGCCATGGTTTTGTTTTCATCATTTGTGTAGAAACAGATTGCTGACCATTCCTGTGTCCTATTCACTCTCTGGTGTGGTGCTTTATTTTGGAAGTCACTATAAAATATAACTATAAATTGCAAGCAAATTATTCTCAAAACAGGAAATACAAGGCAACTTTACTGAAATTTCTTTCTGAATGACTAAAAAGTGTTTTGATTACGCTGTTTTTGGCCAAAAATACTGGATTTTGATCTCTTTTATTTGTGTAAGAACTTATCTGCCTCTGTACTCATACCAAATGCTTTCCTCTACAATGTCCTGTTTTTTCTGGCTTTTCAAAGGTTCTCTCTAGATTCTGACTCTGATCATTTTACATATCTTTAAATATAAACCACATGCAATTTCCACTCTAAAGTGTGCACCAGTAGCTTTGACTTTCAACAATATTTTGTCCTATCTTGCCTTGAATGGTCAAAAAACAAAATCAGGGCCTCCCTGGTGGTGCAAGGGGTTAAGATGCAACCTTTGAAGCTGTCCAAAGCCTCTGCATCACCAGTTCGATCCCCAGCCAGCCAGGGAGCAACCCACATGGTGCAGCAGACCTCTCCTGACTTGCCCGCTGCTCCCTTCAGCAGTGTACTTCAATCTGCCTGTTCTGCTCCCCACTCTGTCTCTGGTGAATCTTCTCGCCCCATCCCCCCTGCACCTCTGGCCTGTACCCCAGCTCTTGTATTCACAAATAAATAAATCTTATAAAAAAAAAATTTCTCGGGCCTCCCAGGTGGCGCAGGCAGTTGAGAGCTGCACTGTGAAGCTGTCCACAGCCTCTGCAGAGCGGGTTTGATTCTGGCTGGCCGGCAAGAATCCCACATGGCCGAGCAGACCTCTCCTGTCTAGCCCTCTGCTCTCCTCAGCAGTGTATTTCGTCAGTCTGCCTGTTCTGTTCACCACTCTGTCTCTGGTGAATCCTCTCACCCTCCCACGCATCTGCCCTGTACCCTGGTTCTTGTATAAAAATAAATTAAAAAATTAAAAAAAATCATTTCTCCTCTTGAATTCAATATATCTCATCTTGTTTCACTATTTTTTAAGTATTCCAAGATTGAATCCTCACTAATCATATCTCTGTTTCAAAACCCCCAAATAAAGTTAGCTGACAAAAAAAAGTCCAGTCAATTCTTCCTTCACCTTAATCTCTCAAATTTTTATTCTATCACCCTTACTCATTACTTTTCTACTGTGCTATTACCTTGTCTTCCAAGCATGCATTTGATATCTCTTTTTTAATTCATCTTACTCTCAGCAAAGCCTCCTAATATGTTGGCCCCTTCATGTGCCAAATGCGACTAAATTCAATATAAATCATAAACTTGACTTTTCAGCCTATGTGGAGATTTCAATTCTGTTTAAATTCTGACCTCTACAAAATCTTTACATACACTGTACTCCAGAAAATTCAAATAATTGTTTTTTGTCAAACCGACCATGAAGTTTCCCAGTTATTTGCACTTCTTGTGCTATTTCTTCTTCTGGGAATATACTTTAATTTTCTTTCTGCCTAAGTCTATTTACCCCAAATTTCCTCTTTCATGGTTCTTCTTAATAGTAGTAAATTACGGTTATGTGAAGAATTATTTCAACTTTTTTATTATTTTTAAAGGATTTTTTAAAAGAATTTTTTATGCATACAAGAGCTGGGGAACAGGCCAGATGTGCAAGGGGTGAGAGGATTCAACAAAGACAGAGT